TTAATAAAAACAAGAGATAGGTGGTAAAAATCGAAGTGTTAGTGCATTAATCGAGGTACTAGTGCGATAGTTTTGTCTATCACCGAACACTGCTCTGGTACGGATTGTTGTCCGTTACGGCTCACATATGGCAAGTCGGCATATCAAGGCACGAAGAAGACTTAGTCGAGAATGTACACAAATCCTACCGTGCATTAAGCAGTCCATGACTGAGGTCGTCGTATATCCAGGTCGCTCACACTGAGGCAATAAGCCACAGATTGACAAACGTTTCCAGTTCATTTCAAAAAAACAAATAACCAAGTATAAAAATGATCCATTTAACCAGATGACAAAAGTGATCTCGGAACTGACGCGAGAATATCAAAATTATTGACTCACCTCAAAGTATTCATTCCAAACGGGCTCCAGAGTACTATTTATAACCGCCGTCTTGAATGTTCGGGCACCAACTGGAAGCATAAGGAAGAAAAATTATGGTATACGGTATACAGGCTACAAAAAGCGTGAATCTCCGGTTTTCACACCTCTCACATGAGGGCCGGAATATACAAAACGATGCGAGAGAATGCGACTCTAAGGGAGGAAATAGTATTTTGGATGCAAAAGGCCGTTCAGTGTAAGTCGGATGTCGCGATAATGAGAGTAATGGTACTGTATTAGACCGATAAAGTTTTGTTTGATCAACGTTGCACCTGCTGCACTAAGCGGATGGGGGTTAAAAACCAATACTGAACTGAATTCCATTTCGCCTGTTCGCCGAGCTTGGCAATTGATTTGCAAACGTTTCACCACCAGCCGAGGTGACATTATCAGTGCTTGTGAAGTGGCCACTTCAGACGTTCCCATGCGTAAGTGTCTGAAGAGCCGCAAGAGTTTGAAAATATGAAGCCGTTTCTGCAGGAGTCGCTATTTGATCTACTCTTGCCTCTCCAGTGTAACGCTTTACGTCTGTATCACGGTGGGTGTTGGTTAAATTCCACACCAGCTGACCTCGCGAAACAAGGATGTTGTGACGAAAAAACATTTCCTAGGTACAAGTATATGAATGAACTGACAAAAGATTACCGGATACTTATGCCTCACGAGCGGCAAGAACTGCGAAACCGGTCGTGTGCTTCCAGGAAATTTTGACCAGTCATTCACATACTACTTATTATCAAATATATATACTTGCGGACAAGCATGATGCCAACGCCAAAACAATCATAGGAGACGTTGGGACACAGAACACAGGAAAAAAGCCGGAACTATTAAAATGGAAAATAACAAATAAATGGGACGACATTTTTTTGTGTGCTCTCACGTACACTTTTTGAAATTTTGGTTGTGTTAGTTTCTCTTTTTTATAGGGCAGGGGATTTCAACAGGCAAACCGTATTCGCGCCACTGACTTCTCTTCTGGGCCATATCTCTCAGCGTCTCTAACTGACGACAATCCTCATCCCTCGGGCACCAACCTGGAAGGCGGGCTGCAACAACTGAAGCCAAAGCTGAAGCTAGCTTCTTCATACCTTTACGCCATGTCATGGTCTGAACGCCACGAAGTTTCTTTCAGCCTTGCCCGGCACGTGCGGAGAGCTCGGAAAGGTAGTGATGGGCAAGCATACGCAATGCGTGACGAAACCAACGGAGGCGATTACTTCCGTTAGAGAACAACTATTCACACCGAACACACGACGACGAACCTCGTCATTACTCACCGAGTTTTCCCACCAGACACCAGCAATGCTTCGGAGACATCGGTGGTCGAATACAAAAAGTCGATCAGCATCTTCAACGGAGAGGCCAGGTCTCGCAACCGTAAAGCAAAACGCTACGAACCGCGGCGATGTACACCCTTCCCTTAGGGGATAGTCGGATATCACGGCGGCGCCACATGTGTCGCAGGTTGGCGAAAGCTGCTCTAGCTTCCGCCATTCGTGATGTGACCTCCTCTCCATCCCATCCGTTTAGTATTATCATAGTACAGTAAAATACACTGAAGCGAACTTTACAGATCCTCTATAGTCCGACCGGGAAATGAGTAACAAGTTTCGTTGGAGAACCAATCGGTATACGCGGATTGGTTGAAGGGGTTGATCGACTTTTTCAGCTGTTCGAAGATTCGAACAGCAAATGCTCCTTGGTTGAATCGCTTTGATTGTAATGACCTTACCATACTCGTCAGTGGGCTTCTGTTTTATTGAGACACCTAAAACTGTGGACAAGCACCGAATAATGTACCTTATTTTGTATAAATTGAGTTCGCAAGCATCGGTTGACTCTCACAGAACAACGATACTGGATAATGTCCACGCGCGATTCGAGTTTCGCTTTGTCGGATCATCTCGGGCACGGTGAGGATTTTGAGAGAGCGAATCATTTCCGTATTCTATTGGGTTTGTTTTTAGCGTGCTACTAAATTCAGGAATAACTGAATGTAGGTTAGGCATCAATGCTGTGTATAAAACGTAGTGAACATCGTTCACTTCTATTGCATCTATATTAAAATACAGAATAATGACAATGTCACATTATAAACGGACTCTTAGTAATGTAAGATATAAATAACCAATCCATTTCGCCTGCAAGCCGAGCTTGGCACTTTGCTGGCAAACGTTTCATCATCAGCCGAGGTGAAATCGTCAGTGCTTGTGAAGTGGCAGTGTTCCGCTTATACTCGTTCGCTTATATACGTGTTCTTCTCCAACGACTGTTTGACCCTTATTCTCAAGGTGTTCGACTCGGTTTGCCGTTGAACTGATGAAAGGGGGCGAGTGAGAGAGAGTAGTTGTTCTTTTGTCTTGGTTGTGCGTTTTTGTCCGATCTCAAGTCACGCTGTAACCTTTGGTTGCGCCATGTGATCACTGAGTTGTATTGGTGTTTACACGTGATTCAGTTCCATGTATCTGTTTATTGAGTTGCTTGAAGTGACAATACTTGAGAAATTCTCTGGCGTGTTTTGAACGAACTTGGTCGATGATTGTCACTGATTCGAAGTCGAATTGATGTTCTCCTCAATCTTCACGGAGGAAAACCAACGACAGAGGGTTATGCCTCCTGACCGTCGATTAGTATTCCCGGATTCTAGTAGGTGGCTTTTTCCAGTTTGTCCGATATGATTTTCTTTGGGCAGTTGCAGTTTATTTTGTAGATAAAAATGCTCTCCTTCTCCATTGTTCTCTACTTTGGTTTTGAAAGGAGTCTCCCTAAAAAGGCGGTCGGTTTGTGGGCTACTTGGATTCCATATGATCTGACCAGTCTTACTGTCATTTCCAAAACGTCCTTGATGTATGGCAGGGTCGTTCTTGTTCCCAATTATCCGTTTGTTTATTGTTTTCTTCTGTGATTCAGAGTTACTTGTATAAAGTTACGGGTGTAGCCATTACGGGAAAATAATCTGAAGAGGTGCCTTTCTTCTTGAGTATATCGGTGCTGTAGTGCGATTGGATTCTTTCGATCAGGATCCTAACACAGCATCTCTTGTGGTTTTTTGGATGATTAATTTTGAAGTTTGAGATTTGGTGTGTATGCTTTGCTGTGTGGTACACCGTTGTCTCCTGGTTTCCAGATGGCATTCTGATAATCAAGATGTCCAAAAATGCCAGTTTGTTGTCCTTCTTCGCCTCCATTGAGAATCTGATGCCATTTAATGTAGTACTGATGATGTTGTGTCCCTTCTGGATCCGACTTCTTCAAGATGACGAATGCGTTAACCACATATCGGAGCCAAAGTTTTGGTATGATTCTTGGTAGTGATTCCCTCCCGCTCCTTCTGGATTACGGCTTCGGCCACTAATCCAGAAATTGGTGATCACATTGGCGTCCCTTACCGCTGTTCGTAGATTGTGTCCTCGAATTTGAAGTGTCTGCATGCATAGTTCCACGAGTTCGCAGATGGCAGCTGGTTTCATCGGCTGGTTTGGTGGATGCTTAGTCTCCAGGTCGCAGAACGCAGACCTTGCCAGATCCAAGTCCATCGAGGTGAACAAAGCGGTGACGTTAAATGAGACCATTATTTCGTCATCTTGGATATTGACAGTTTGCGCTTGTCCCAGAACTGCCATGAGTTCATCACGATGTGTTCGTGTTCTACGATGAGTGGGTTCAGTCGTTTCATAATTCTTTTGCTAAAATGTACGCAGCTGTTCCTCGAAGGGAGACGATCGACCTGAGGAGAATTTCTCCCTTGTGTATCTTCGACAGTCCGTAGAATTGTGCGATAACGGAGTTTTTGGCTCTGACGATGTCACATCGGTTGGTGATGAAACGTTTGCAAGCAAATTGTCAAGCTCGGTGAACAGGCGAAATGGAATTCAGTTCTCTTGATCTACGAGAACCGATCTTCAGTACTTTGTCAATAAATAACTATATTGTAATAGGTAATGCTCGAGCATTTGAATAAAAATTCACAGAACATCTATTTTCATTCCCACAGACACAGTAGAAGGCATGCGGGGCTATGTCGTTTAATTTACGAGGAGCTGAGTTCATCCAGTAAGGAAAGCCTGATAGTACGATACAGGCCTTCTTCATCCAGCCAATACACCAGTATCAATGAACAACCTTCAAGAAATAAGGATTGAAATTAAGCAGCAATTGAATTTTATACAACGCACGACGGCAAACAAGGACAACCGTAGTGTTGGGCATACCAACATAAACCGACTACCAGCCAGTCGAAGCGCTGTTTGTTTATCAACGTAGTTCTCACATGTAGACTAATAATCAAAATGCACACACACACACACACACACACACACACACACACACACACACACACAGTCAGTTAAGATCAAAGTCTAATCAGGCGGACCCACTCACCTCGCACGATGCAGTATGGATCGGAAGAACCACGTCCGACTACAGATTTATCTCCCGCTTTCAAATTGCGACCAGCTATGACGTGTATACGCAACACGCCCTGCAGTGGGGTAAAGATAAACAGTCATAATGCGAAATAAATAGTATCACGTAAAATCGAATTTCAGCGTAACACACAGCATATGGGATTCTAATATGGTAAAGCCAATGATGATAGCTGAAAAGTAACATGCGAAAAGAAGTGAAAATAAAAATGAATGGAAAAAAGAGTTGAAACAATGCCCTCTTACGTGATAGCAGAAATTGTACCATATTTGGTGAGTTTGTTAAAAAAAAACAGTGTACTAAAGCGATTTCAATAAACGCAACTATTGCAATCACATGCGGAAAAGGCAAGTATTATTCGAAGTACCATCAACAACACAAGGAAACTTTCACAAGGGTGCGGGGAATCACGTGAGGATACGAGGCGAAATGACACGGACAGTTGAGCGGAACATTTTCCATAGCGAGGTTCCTCGGACAGGTTAGTCGATCAAATGTGTAGGTTTTTTTGCGTTGGCAAAAAGCATACAAGCAAAATTTGAGGACGCGGTCAGGTTTATACAACCACAAACTCGAAAAACCGTTACAAACGGACCGGCTAATGAACACTTCGCGCAAAGGCTCAAACCACGACATTTGATAATACAAGGGATATTTAGGCGAGAAGCGATTGCGGAGTGCTTCTGGAACGCTGAAGGCAGTGAAATAAGCATTCAGGACTGTAATGCTTATGCTCATATACAACGTACAGCGAAAAGTGTGCAAATAACTTTGAGTGTGATGAATACGGCCAACTCCGGTACGCCGAACAAGTATGACTGATTTATCTTGGCTTTTAAACTGATGAGCAATACAGACATGTCTGGATTAAGGGTGTCGGAAGTGTAGTTTTATAAAATCCTGTCGATAGGCAGAAACTGCTCCGTCAGTTTAACGACTGAATTTTATTCCCGCAGAGTTCATTCAAACGAGTCAAAAGCAAAGAGCCGATCAATAGCCGCTATTAAAGCCAGCACAGCATACGACTGCTAGTCACGAACGACCCACTCAGCTCGCCGTAGAAACTTACACTACCAGAAGTGGGAGTAGAGTGAACTCAATATGTTCACACACTTCTGCGGCATCCCTTTGCGAAGGAATGAATCCATAAGCGATTCACGATCAACTGAGTCGAAGGCTCCCTTTAGGTCAAGGAACACGAAAACCGTTGGTCAACGGTGCGTGTGGCGTAGTTCGAGGACTTGACGCAGAGTGAAGATTTGATCGATACAACCGCGAACTGGTCGAAATCCTGCTTGTTGTTCGCGCATGTTTTTCTCCCTGAAGGGTGTCAGACGTCGAAGTATGATGGAGGCTAGTAACCTGGTGACGATTGGGATCAAACTTATTCCACGGTGGTTTGCGCGGTCATTGCGAGATCCCTTCCTAAAAGTTGGAACGATCAGTGATCCGCTCGAGGATGATGGAATGCGCTCGTGTAACCAGATGTTACGCATTAAATCAGTGATGGAGTCTACAAGGTCATCGCCCCCCATCTTGAAAAGAGTGGGAGGAAGCCCGTTCGGCCCTGCTGCTTTTCCTTTCTTTTGGGCTTGGATGCAAGAACGAACTTCTCCTGCAGCAGGAGGTTCAGATGACACTGCCCACGGAGCTTTAGCTACACTGGAGGAGATAGCGCGGTTAGCGCCTGGCCAGCTGAACTGTTCGTTGAAGTGCTCCACCCATCTGTCAAGCCGTTGTTCCCTATTGCGAGTAACTTGTGCACTTTTGTCGCAGATTGTTTCAGTAACTGGTTCGCCGACCTCTCGCATTGCGTATCATTTGAAACAGTCTCTGACTACTCCCTGATGCAGCTGCTTCTTCCATTTCACTAACTATCGTTGCCCACCAGTTCTCACGGTCTTTCTTGAGGCTCCTCGTGAGATGACGTTGTAGACACCACCTAACTCTGCCTTGATCCCGGGTGGTTGCGATTTGCCGCTTTTTCTCTGTCAGTGTTACTGACTCATCAGATATTCAATGCCTCGGGCGGGCTACTGCTTCAGATCCACAATCAACGTTCTCTGGGGAGTGCATTGCTCAGCTAATCTGATCCCATCGTTCATTTACACTACTACCCTGCAGTACGTTTAGCTCTTGCCCTGGTTCTGATTCAAAACGGGCATGAACGGTTGGGTCAGGTAAGCGATGATCTGCCAATTAAGTTTGGTGTAATTTTCTGCGACCAGTGAGTTGGAGAGTGAACTGCATCAAAACTAACGCATGATCAGATTCAACACAGATGGTCCAATAGGACCTGCAGTTTTGTATTGAGTCACGCCAACGGTAGCTTACTGCTATGTGGTCGATCTGAGTTAGCGTGTCAGTTGAATTTGAGCGCCACTTTGCTGTCCTTTGAGAGCTGTGTCGGAAGTTGGTGCTGGATAGGAACAGATGATGATCTGCGCAAAACTGAAGAACTCGATCGCCATTATCTGTTCATTGGCAGGGCAGAGCACAATGACCGCCTAGGAATGCTTCCGATGCGCTCAGTTTTCCGACTTGAGCGTTAAAATCACCTGCGAGGATAACTATATCGGAGCTTCGGCTCAACCGATTGAGTTCGGTGAGTTTATCATAAAAGTCGTCCTTTTGTGCGTCAGAACTGCAGTTGGTCGGAGCATACGCTGAAATGATGAAGAGACACCTATTGGTGTTGCTTACCTTCCGGATGCTGATAGACCCTTGGAGCCACATCGCACATAAGCGACTGTCGACGGGAATCCAATCGAATAGTGCGGCTTCGGTGCAATGCCCACACCACGCTGACCGCCTGAACAGGCTTCGTCATCACCTGACGTGCGGAGGAAGAACCTCGAAGACAACCCCGGTGCACTTAAGTGGCATATAGTACTAGGATCCTGGATTCGTCTCCGACACGCAGCAGTGTCCATTGTACGCGCCAGACATGCTTGTTGACCTACCTGCATAAGAGCCCTTACGTTGAAGGCCCCCAGATTAAGTGGCTGACGAGGCTTCAGAATATGCAATCTATTTTGGGGTAAACTACTTACCGAACTTTGACGAGTGATTAACAAGTAGTCTGAGGGAATGCTACGGGTTGGAAAAAAGGATAAAGGATTGGGTACGGAAGATAACGAGTTAAACAAAGGTTGGGATATCTGCGCAGTAGCTCACTTATCACTACCCGCCCCGCTCGCTGCAACGGACAGCGGGATCCTGATTATCCTGCGCGACGACCGATGCAGTATAGGATTATTTTTTGGTTGTGTATGCATTTGAGTTTGATGGACGGGTACTGCCAGGGTGTCCAGCCACTAAGGAGGAGAACAATTAGGGTTTTCGTCCAAAGCCTTTAGTTCTAATAAGAACCTAACCGCAAGCCAGCGAGTAAAGCGAAGTAGAGGCCCATTAACTTGGATCAATTACTCCTCTACCATTTTACCGACTGAGACGCTAACTCGAGTCAAACACCCAACCTGGAGGAACAAAAGACTGCAGCTTACGGTCCTGCTGATGTTGGTGTGGCTCTCAGTGAGAGGGCCACGCTTTTGGATTGGATTCCAGTCGACAGTAGGTTATGCGCAGTGAGACTCAGAGACTCGTGCAAAGCAAGCAGCTGTTGCTGTGATAGACGAAATTTGTTTGTCGTGCCGGCGTACACTCCAACGGACTGCAGCCCAAATGCTGTTCAAGATAAATTTTACCAACAACTACACGACCTCTTGCGTTAAGCGATCCGAAATGATGCTATAATCTTAGCAGAATATGTGAACACTAGAGTAGGCCGGCTGACTTTGAGCGAGGTGTATCTGGGAGGTCCTTTCGGACTAGATTCCTGTCACTCAGTTCAGTTCAGTTCGTACAACCATTAATCATGCACTTTGGTGCCCCGGTTTTGGTTATCTTTTGGTTGCCCACTGGGACGAACAGTAGGAGAAAGACAGGAGTGGAAAGTAAAGCCACACAGAAAATGGACTAATGCGGCAAAGAAGTTAAGATGCACAGATGCCACTGTTCATGACACAGCCATATCACCCAGTGTCGCCAATCATCAGTTTCGATCATCCCGAGGTCCCCAGCCAGAAAGCCTAACGGTACCTGGTTCGGGTTTTGATGCCCTCGTTCCAGGTTTTAGCTTGCCTACCCTTGACTTTTTTCCACCCAAATACCTGCATCGGCGAACATCGCTCGCCGTGGCAACCTATTTGGTAACATGCGTAACACATGCCCCAACCAGCGTAATCTATGGAGGTCGATCAGTTGCTCTAGTGGACGACCGCGACTGCCTAAAACTCTACGCCTGACCTCAGCATTGCTAGTCTGGTTACCCCACCAGATACGTGCAATGCTACGTAGATAGCGGTGTTCGAACACCGACAATCTTTTTTTATCCTGTTCCCTTAGTGGTCAAGTCTCTGCACTGTAGAGCAGGACTGGCCGAACTGCTGTAGCATACACTAGACCCTTCACAAGACAGCCGGATGTCGCGACGGCGCCACAGATGTCTCAAGTTGGCAAATGCCAATCGAGCTCGGATGTCGCGACGGCGCCACAGGTGTCTCAAGTTGGCAAATGCCAATCGAGCCTTTTGTGTGCGCGCCGACACTTCATCTGTGATGCGTCCACCAGGTGAGGTATAGCTGTCCAGATAGGAAAATTTGTCTTCTTCCTCTACTACTTCCCCAGTCAGTTTGAGGTTGGGGGCTGGACCAATCCAATATTGTAATATTCTAAACTTTCAAATCAAGGAGGATAGAAATGTTTGGTCTATGAAAAGTGTGTGTTCTATAATTTGACGAAGCGTAAAGATGTGGTCAATATAACCTCGACCAGGTGTGGAACCAGCCTGGTTCTCACGCGTACACCGTTCACGTGTGACACACAATCAGCGGAGTACGATCTCAGCGAAAGTTAAGACGCAGTGTTAATTAAACTAATTTCTCTGTGGTTTTCACATGAAGATCTGTCATCTTTCTTATAAATCGGTATGATGACTGATTCACACCATTCAGTTGGCACCTCTTCCCTCTCCCATACTGAGCCCAGGAGTTTTGTTAACTCCAAAACCAAGGCTAGACCTCCATCCTTAAAAATCGATGGGGACCACACGTCAAAAGTGTACGGTGAAACACAAAAAAGTTTTCTTATCCCATTTCTCTACCATTTCCCCGTGTTTAGCTGTCTCCATCTTTCCACTGTGTTCTTTATCCCAATCCACTTGTCTGCCATTTTTGTTACTGTTATTATTGTTGTGGCGTTTTTCACCATGCTTTTCCACAGGCCGAAGTTAAATATATACAGCCCGTCGGGCCCGGAAGCCGTATGCCGTTCGAGATAACTTATTTCTCGGGTAACCTCCATTTCAGATAGAGGACTGATGTCAACTGGTAGTATTTGCGCAGTTGAAGCGGGTAGGGGGATATCTTGTGTCGACGGGGATCAGCTGCCCAACGTTCAAGACGGCGTTCCTGAATTTGAATCAGACTCCTTAATTACCTCACGCCTACTTTCCTTGGCCATGTGCTCCTAATTAAACGAAAATGATTGCGACTATCACAGATAGCCGCAGCCTTCTCCATCTGTCTACACTTCCTTATCCACTTCTTCTCGCGGTCATTCCTCAGATTCCTGGTGAACGTTTAATTTGCGCGCTCTGTCGTATTTTGAATCCGAAGGAATGGCTTTCCGAGCGTCCAGCAAGGCAACTGAGGTCTTTTTTAAAATTACACACAAATGTGATGAAAAGGAAACGGGGCGAACCCCATGGTTACAAGGATCTGTTGTTCAGTGATGGAAACCGGCAACCTAAGCCCTGGAGTGGCGAACCACATAAGGTCCCGATAGGTTAGGCGTGGTGTTGAGCCGAACGACAGCAATGCTGCCTACCACCAAAGTTGGGTGGCGGTGGCGAAGTTCAAACCTCAGACCACAGGGTGGGGAGATTCATCGTTTTTTATTTGATCGTGCGTCAGAATTTGCCGTTCTTTGGATCGCTTCCTTGATTGTCGTCCAGTGTTCACTGAGTTCTCCGACTGATAGTTGAGCTGAGAGGCGATCTGAAAGTTCCGCTTCGAAAGCCGATTTGCAACCGTCGCTGGTACTGTATTGTGAGCATCCGCTTTTTGTGTGGCTTTTCTGTGTTTGTTTACTAGGCGTAGAGAGAATCTCGCTCGTAGCAGGGCATAGTCCTTGTCCACGGTTGTTGACCAGTAGTAGCGGCAGTCCTCAATTGATCCACACCAGCGGTGGCTGATGGCGAGGTGGTCGATTTGAGTCCAGCGCTGTGAAGCGGTTGGCGGTCTCCATGCAAGTCGGTGTCGCTTCTTGTTCGATAAGTTCTTGCTTGATAGAAACAGTCCGTAGTCAGCGAAGAGTTAGAGTAGGCGTTCTCCGTTGTCAGTCCCATTGGCTGTGATTGCAGTGAACCACCAAGTAGCCTTTCCGATTCGTCCAGGGATCCCACTAGAGCATTGAAGTCTCCAGCGATTACCACGTTGTCTGTTGACCGAACACTTTGGGCAGTTAAGAGAGGTCCTTGTAGAATTCATCATTTCTGCCATAGGCGGACACGACGAATAAATACTGACACTTCGTTCTGTAGCTGTTGATCCGCATTGACCCATCCAGACGTACATCGCAAAGTCGACTGTTAACCGGGATCCAGCCGAGAAGTGAACGCTCGGCCTTGACACAGCGCAATCCCAACACCAGCAACTCCGCGAGCTTCGGATGACGAATTACCTGACATACGGAGAATGAAGCGTGAGAATGAGGTTGGATCTGGAGAACGCAAGGAGATGATTGAAGCAGGGTCTTATATGCGTTTCGGAGACAGCATGCATCTAAATGGAAGGTTTCAAGGGTTGTAGCTAAGGCAGCTTGTCGACCGATCTGTTAGAGTGAGCGGACATTG